TTGCAGTTCAAAAGACTTTGCAGTCTGGCACATTAACCCACAGCGCCACACCAGGACTCCTCTCCTACCCATGATAAAAAACAGACCAAAAGGGAGACAGATCAGTGCCTCAGCTTGGGCTGTGTGCTTGGGCTGTGTGTTTGTGTGGATTCCTGGCAGAAGATACCACCAGCGGTGAGGGTAGAGGGTGGCCACTTGGCTCAGGCTCTACCTCTATTCACCAGAATGGAGGTGGGCAAACAGTGAGCGCACCAATTACCCTATACCAAAGAAAAAAATAAAATCAGAACAACACAAAACTGACAGTCTATTGTGCACCTTTTTCCCAAGGTTCCCGTGGTGTTTTTCTGTGGTGTCTCTGTGGCCCCTTTTTTGTCTTCCACCTGGTCTTGCCCAGGATGTGAGCTCAGGCCCCTGAGCCCGGCCCGGCAGATTCAAAAGCATGTGATTTTTTTACTTCAGCTCCAAACTCCACAAGCTATAAGCCTTCAAACCTTTAAAATATTCCTATCTCTGTGGGTCCGAGTTTTGGAGCTCTGTCCTGGTTCTTTTTTGCCTGGTATTCTGAGTTATTGCTGACGGCGACCTTCACTACACCTCCACCTTAGCCACCATCAAGCCCCGCCTATCTATACTAATTGTTTTAAGACACATAAATGCAATGTGGCTGATTGGAGTCTTTGGTCATAGAGGCCAACTCACAGCAATTAATCAACAAGGACAAGGTGAATTTTGTTACTGTAATGGCCAACAGAGTCAAAGCAGAAAACAGCATGACATTTCTTCAAAAAGAAGGAAATGAAATACCTTATGACCCAGCCATTTCTCTACTTGATATATATACTAGAGAAAAAAGAGAACAAAACATATATGTACATCCATGTTCATTGTAGTATTTTTCACAATAGTAAAAAGATGGAATGAACCTAACCTGCCCATGATTGGAAGAATGGTTCAACACATTTTGGTGCATATTCATAATGGAAACATATGCAACATTTTAGAGTCATGATGAATCTGCAAAACACATCATAACATGGATGAACATTGAGGCCATTCTGCTAAGTGAAATTATTCCATCTGTAAAGACAGATATTATCTGAGACCATTAGTTTTCATAATAAAAGAAGCATTCTTTAATGGTTTACAGTAATGAAAATGGAAGAGTACTTCATTGGCACGAAGGTAAGCATGTATTAACCTTAGTTAAGGTGTAGGTAATATGTAATAAGAGGGATGTTGGCAGAAAAAGGATGGCAGCATGAGAAGACATGGTCAAGAGCCCAAGTTTTAAAAGCAACAGAGATATCGAAAATTGTATATACAACTCTACAGTAGAAGTAGACTGATGAATAGATACACAGATTGAACAGATGTGGGAGGGAGAAAAGTACACTGACAAATACATATACATTTGATGGAAGATGTTTGTACATGGGTATATACCATTGCTTAAAATATATCCATGAATATAGTTGAACATACAAGGGACAAAGTTATGGATGGTTCATTTCAGTTTTTATTCTTTTTAAAATTTATTGTCAATTGGGTGAAAAGTTACAGACCAGATCATTGGATTTACATTTAGCAAGTCATCACATGTCTCATCATCTCCCTGACTGCTGTTGCACTAATGTAACATCAGGTATCCCACTCCCTACTTTTTACTTCTTGCTTTCCCTACAATTCTGACCTTTGTCTTTGAATAACATTTTTATTTTAAATGGTTGACCATTCTGTAATGTGGGCACTTCACTAGTTGCTGTTCCCCTATATATCTATTTATTGCTTGCTGAAATTAGAGTCAGGGGTGAGTCCAGTTCAATAATTGAAGTGAACAAGGACCACAAGTCTCTATAGGATACTTATTTTATCTTTAATGACTTCAAATTTTCCTATATTTATACATGATACCTGTGTCATATCTGTGAAACTGGTATTATACACACTATATTATTGTGAATAACAAAGAAAACCACCATAAATCTTACAATAATATTCAACCCAAACTTGAACAAGAGTATATAATAACCTAATATACAGAACACAAAAGAAATATAAATCGTCTTTGAGTTATTCACCATTCATCTTTGACTTTACAAATTGTAAGACTGCTTGAAGTGCGTCCAGTGAAGAAATAAGGATAAAGCTTTTATGTAAAGGTGTCATGAAATATACAAATATGAGATTTAGTCTTCATATTATAAAATGAAATCTCTCCCAACTCATAATCCAGAAAAACACCAATCTGTGCGATTTTTACTCTCTCATATGGACCACTTGTGTTACTCCACATCTGAATTTGCCAGCATCCACCATTTGTTGATGCCAATGTAGTTGCATTTAGGGGAAAGGAATCTTTACACACTCCTATGGCCCAATGACTTGTGCCTCTTACTTCAACCTGCCAGAAATGCCTTCCAGCATCAAATCCTTCAGAGCTCAGGACAGCAGGATAACCAGTGAATCTTTTGGGATTGAAAGATAAGTTTGTTTGTATCTTTCCATATTTTACATGTTTTCTATCTTCTGATATGATGAGATTGGTGTGAGCTGTTTCAGGATCAAATGTCAAATCAACTTGAAATATGCTGATCATTCTTTTCAGGTTAAAGTATAATATAGGTAGATCCCATCTGTCCTCTGTAAACTCATATGAAAATACTGCTGGTGTTTTTAAGTTCTCGTACCTGCTATAGATGGTGTCAACCTCTGTCAATAACTCCAGATCTGGTTGCACACACTTTTCTGTAATTTTAAATAGCAGATGTTTTATAGCAGAAATGTGGCCTGAAAGTAAGGTTTTGTTTTCAATTAGTTTTTCCTTAATGCCCCTCTCTTCCGTCACTAAGTTCACAACTTTGTCATCATATTGTTTACTCAGAAACTGATTAACTTGTTCAAAGTCAAAATTCAATTCACTTTTCTTATTTTCCACTGTCATCATCAGCTCAATAAACTTTAATTTCTGTGTTTCTGATTCATTTTCAACAAGTTCAACTTGCTCCCTCAGAGGCTTCATGTAGCCTTTGAGCCTCCTCCTGTGACTCGATGCAGCTTGGTCAATGGGCATCAAGTGGTGATCCAGGTGTTGAGAGGACATCCTGCACCGGGGACACAACAGCTCCAGGTCATTTTCACAGAAGAGGTCCAGCTGAAGATTGTGCTTATCACACAGAGGTTTCTCTTTCCTTTGGATGCTGTTGCTTTTTGTGGTGAGAAGTTGCTTAACAGTATCAAGCATATGACAGAATTGCAAATTCTTCCTGTAGTTCTTGTCAAGGCAGTGGTGGAGGCAGTTGGGGCAGGGAAAGATGTCTTCTAGACCCTCCCAGCACTGCTGGATACAAGGGTGACAGAAATTGTGACCACATGCAATGGTTATTGGGTCCTTCAGGTAATCCAAGCAGATAAGACAGCTAGCCTCTGCTTGGAGGTCAGTCAGGGAGGCTACAAAGGCCATTATGCCACCTGGTCTTCAGAACGAGAGAACTTCTCAAGTGGTCTCTTTACCCTAAAGCTAGGAAAAAGTGTCTTCAGTCTTTTGTTTCCTACCTGAAGTGAGTTTCTAGGAATTTAATGTCTCTTCAAAATGTTATTGTGTCTTCCAACCGTTCCAAAGAGTGCTTCCAAAAGAAGTCACCAATTTCTCAGCCAGTTACTAATCTTCCTGTGACCTTCTCCTGTGGTAACCAATGGTCCTTCCTGCTGAAGGTCAGCTCTAGTGTCTCTCTGGTCTAGAAATAATTACAAATCCAAGTCACTCTATGATATATGTGGATAGGAAATATTGACAATTTTGAAAGATGCTTACACTAGCTTGTATCAGTCCTTAATATAAATCAATCCTCAGGTATAAGTAACATTTCTATATAATATTCAAGGATTTATAAACAGACAAGACGACCAATTTTCATTGGTTTAGACCATTATCACCAATGACTACCATCTCATTCTGCTTTCTTTAAAGAAACAAATCCAGTGAAAATTACATCTGTATTTATGTTTTTATAAAGTGTCATCAAGTCGACTCTGACATTTTACAAACCTGTATAGGGATTCTGAGTAGAGGCTGGTGGGTTTGAACTGACACCTTAGAGTTAGTTTCTGTATCCTACTGCGCCATATGTACATAGAAAAAGAGAGACTTACCTGGTGGAAATGGCTCATGAAAGAGGCTGATATGTGCCCTGTGTGTTACATATCAGGTTTCAGGTTTCTCCCACTCAGGTAGTTGCTGGTTCAGGGGCACTCAAGATCCACAAGTTCACACAAACGTTCACTGTAAGTGGCGGTGGAGAAATCTAAGATTGACAGGTCAGAAGGGAAGACACCTGGATGTTAGATTATTGACAGGAACTCAATGCTGCACCGAGTTACCAAACTTTGCCTGGTTGTCTATACACACACACACACACATATATACAATACAGAACAAATGGCCACCATTTGTCTGTCAGTTTGTCATATTGTGGTGGCTTGTGAGTTGCTGTGATTCTGAAAGCTGTGCCACCGGTAATTTAAATAACCAGCAGGGTCACCCATGGTAGACAAGTTTCAGATGAGCTTCTAGACAAAGACTTACTAGGAAGAAAGTGATGAACTACTTCCAATCTTTACTCACTGAAAATCTTATGAGTAACAGAAAAACACTGTCAGATATAGTGCCAGAAAATGAGTCCTTCAGGTTGGAAGGCACTCAAAATGTGACTGGGGAAGAGCTACCTCCTCAAAGTAGAATTGACCCTGATAACGCAAATGTGATAAGTACCTGGGAGAAAAACCCACAGGACCTTCTTTTGCTGATGGGGCACCACTCAAAATGAAGAGAAACAGCTACAAACATCCATTGAAAATTGAAGTATGAATCCGGGAAAGTTGGAAGTTGTCAAAAATCAAATGGAACATATAAATATTTATAACTTAGGCATTAGTGAGCTGAAATATGCTGTCTTTGGCCATTTTGAAGCTGACAACCACATGGTTTGCTATGCAGGGAATGACAAATTGAAGAGGAATGGTGTTGCATTCATCGTCAAAAAGAACATGTCCAGATCAGTCATGAGGTAAAACGCTGTTTGTGATAGGATAATATCCTTGGACCTTCAGGGAAGCCCAGTTAACAACCACTAAAGCCAGTGAGGATGAAGTAGAATTCTACCAACTGAATGAAATGGGTCAAACATGCAATCAAGATTTATTGATGGTTACTGGTGATTGAAATGCAAAGGTTGGGAACAAGGAGGAAGGATGGCCTTGGTGATAGAAATGATACCGGAGAATGCATGATCGAATTCTGCAAAACCAATGATTTGTTCATTTCAAATACCATCATTAGACAGCATAACAGATCACTATACACATGGACCTTGCCAGTTGGAACACACAGAAATCAAATTGACTACATCTGTGGAAAGAGACGATGGAAAAACTCCACATCAGTGAAAATAAGGCCAGGGAAAACTGTGTAACAGACCACCAATTACTCATATGCAAATTCAAACTGAAGCCAAAGAAAATGAAAACAAGTCCAAGACAACCAAAAAACCACCTTGAATATATCCCACCTGAATTTAGAGATCATCTGAAGAACAGATTTGATACATTAAACACTAAAGACCAAAGACCAGAAGAGTTGTGGGATGA